GTGCTAGAACATGGATGATATTGTCGTGGAGTTAAATAAGACTAGACCTAAAGAAACTGTAACAAGCCAATCACCGAGTTTTAAGTCGGGCAAACCGACCCACACTCTCAGCCGGCTCATGGTCAGTATTGAAAATGCTATCGCTAAATCAGAAAACAGATGGCCGGTATTCACGAATGACGTCATGACTTCGGGGTTGCGTGGCACTGAAAGCGATGAACGAACTTTGATCAGACACAGTGTCCACCAGCTGCCGGACCTAGCTAGTGCCAACAGCTCCTACAATTACGAAGAAATTTATCGGAGCAGAGCCACGCCCCTACTCACAGTAGGTCACGTGAACATCTCTATACAGCCGCATAGAGCCAGACGACTCAATGTGTTGTCCGACAGTGTGAACACACAGGGCGAAGCGCCACCTACACCACAGTTTATTTTCAAATCGCTTTCTAGCAATCAAAGTCTCACTTTAGGAGAAATTTCCGGAAATTTTGGTTTAGGTTCCCCTGCTCACAAAAGAAAGGAAGATTTACCATTCAGACAAACTCAGTTTTTTCATCTCAACAATTCCAATGGCCTACAAAATGTTTCACGCATGCGTACTGCTCCACACTCCATCTCGCACCACGGCCATAATGCTGCACCAGTACAGCACCAAGTTCCAGTAAGATTTCCACATGTGAAGAATTTAAGACCCAAGTCCATTTCTCCTTCTACGAAACAAAAAAATAATGAGAAAAAGTCCAGTCGTAAAATATATTTATTTCATTTTGAACACTCGTATGTGAATTGAACATCCTAATTACTATTCATTTGAAGATATCTTTCTGGCCAACCACACTGATTCGGCCATCTCTGTTGGCGGAGAGAAACCTGATGATTGTTTTTTTGACACAGAGGACGTTAAAACGTCCTTTGTCCATTTCAAATTGTGAGACCTTGTAAAAATAAAGCGTGGGGTGAAATCCCCTTAACTTTCTCGTATATTTTCATGTAACAGTGAGGATTTGGTATGGCACTTTCAGTGTAATCGGTTTATAGAAATGAACACATAGTGGCTATAAGTACAAACAAATCATCTTTAGATCTAGCAATCTATTTAGCAGATGAAATAGATATCATGTTTCTTGACCTCGGCATGTGAAGGGATAATGTGGTTGGCACTATGACCAGCCGCCTTTACTTTCTCTAACATGAGTAAGGTACCCATTAGAGCTGAGTGGACTCAAAGACGTTCCACTGTCTCAACCCATATTCAAGCTCGGGACTTTCGGGTTAGCAGTCTATCGTTCTACTGCTAGACCACGGCGTCCCCTATCTAGAGGCGTATAGCTCTTAGAATAGGCTTTATGGGAATATTATATAGGATTATCAAATTCTCAAGGATCTTGAGAAATCTGAAATAAAGTAAAATAGCCATTAGTGTTTCTGGAAATCGCACAAAAGTTTATAAAAATCTACGGACAGACAGGAGCCAATACTTATTATACATACTCTTTTGTCCACCTAACTCAAGTGGTACTCAGGTTATCGGTATTTCAGAAACTGGATACATAGTAAATTACCACTTCCGGATATTGTAGGTTATTCAAAAGTTAAAATTTATCAAAGTATAAGATCGTATACTTAGAGGCTACCAAAAATTTCGTCTACCTAAAGTACTCAAGTTATCGTGTTCCCACTTCATGGTAAGCGAAATGGGCTGAGAGTTTCAAGAAACCTACGCCTACAATCTGATACTTCTACGTGGAATTGTGTCTACATAACTCAAACGATACTCGACCTTTGATATTATTTGCTCAACCAGTGTCTGCTGCGTTGGTTAGCTGAGTCATGTATTCGTCAAGTCATTGCGTCTTGTTTATTCGTCACATTCGGTTTGACCTTGGTATCTTACCACGTTTGTTGGCCAACTACATAGTAACCAATTGCCGAGGTAAAAAATTATCAGTGGGCCCCTTCTTCAGCCGTTAGACCTCAACTGAGTTCAATTTGGGCAGCAGTCCACATTTAAATCTATCATCAATGAGGATGGTGGGGGGGGGGGGGGGGGGGGAAGGTGACAACAAAACTGAAAATTTACAGAGGAAAAAGGTTAAGTTTAGAATGTTAGTATTTCATCCGTCAATAAACTACAGGGGTGGGGGTGACGCCTAATTTAACAATTTACTACGAAATAATGATATTTTTTTTTGCACTTACGTAGAGTTGCGCGCTTTTTCTACTTGGAATAGTATAATGTTTTCACAAATTGACACCACTACGCAAAAAAAAAAAAAAATCAGTGTTATTATCTAACTGACCAGCACGGAATACACCTTCCACCGAAGAGTATTGGGTCGAAATTTGCAAATTGATTTATCAAAACTAAATTCATATCAAGGATATTACTATCTATACCAGGGGTCTCCAAACTACGGCCCGCGGGCCGTATGCGGCCCGCGAGGTCGTCTCATCCGGCCTGCGGAGATCTTTTTGTCCACGGAATAAATGTTTGTTTGTGATGGCTGAGGATCTTTGCCCAGAAAAATCAAAGACATAAACTGGCCCCCGAACTGAATTTTTATAGTTAATGCGGCCCTCAGACTGAAAAAGTTTGGAGACCCTGATCTATACAATAGCATATGAGTGTGAACAATCGTGTGTGTGTGTGTGTGTGTGTGTGCTATGCATATGGGCGAGTGTTTATGTTTTATATATATATATATATATATATATATATATATATATATATATATATATATATATATATATATATATATATATATATATATATATATATATATATATATATATATATATATGGGATCCGGACAAAAGGCCGACATGAACAATAGGCCGACATGGACAAAAGGCCGACAAGACAATAGGCCGACAAGTTTTATAAACAACAAACTACAATTACAAGTCCATATATAGGGAAGTCACAGGGGCAAGTATACACAAGTGCCCTACTAATACCACAATATAATCATTATGAAAGAAAATATGTAAAAATCCAAGTGCCCAAAGACAATCTGCACTATGAAAGTTGAATGTTTTAAACATGGTGCCTCCAGGTATAAGTTCGCACACCCGCCCCGTGATGTAACTGTTGGTACCAATACCCCAGAGAATTTTAAGGGTGTTTCTTTCACCATCAGCGTAAAACGGGGCGTGTTTGTGGTTATGTGTACAAACTAGCGCCCCAACAACTAAGCCTTGTTAGTGGTTTTGGTTTTGTAAAAAAAAAAAATCTATTACAGTAGTGATGTTCTACAGTGGCTAGCACTCACTGTTATGTAAAAGCAAACAAGTTAATAAAAAGTCTAGTGACAATTTAAGCGCAATTTCCTTATGTTATCCATAACAATTTTAAATCGAGATAAATCATATATTCAGCAAATAAATAATGCAACACAAGTAGTTTTAATAATTCAAAACAAAATAGAAAAAATATTTATTATTTAATAGGGTACAAAAATAACGTTTGAATTAATAAGTAAAAAATAAAGACAACTATATTAACCTATATCAACGGAAATACTTTTATTTTAACGAGTAGGCCTACGTCTACACGATGCTCAGTTTAAACAAGTTGATAAAAAGTCTAGTGACAATTTAAGCGCAATTTCCTTAATTAATTTTTTAGAATTCACAGACCTACGTAAAAATCCTTTCGAACCTCCGCTCATTCGCTATGGTAAAATCCTTTCGAACCTCAGCGCTTTACGCTAAAAACCTACACGATGCTCAGTTTAAATTTTAAAAAATCCTTTCGAACTTCCGCTCATTCGCTATGGTAAAATCCTTTCGAACCTCAGCTTTGCGCTAAAAACCTACACGATGCTCAGTTTAAATGTTCTTAATTAATTTTTTGTGACCGAACGAAAGGATATTTTTGAAAACTTTCTTCGGCAATATTGTTCTAAATTATGGCAGGAATCGATTGGTAAATGTTTCAAGTCGCTAAGTGGTCTGGTTGCCGAGATATGGGAAAAAACTGCATTTTTCGAGGATTTTGGCTTTTCCGGGAAATCCAGGAAGGAATTCCGGGAATTTTTTGGCCCACAATCATCGTCGGAACTTGCTTAACATATTTGCTTTGGAACTAGTCCTCGATATTGCTTCGTTGAGGAGGAGATACGACTTAAAGCTGCGGACACACATCCATACATCCATCCATCCAGAAATGACGAATTATTAAACGCAATTGCCAGTATGAAAATTGCGCTAAAAATATATGCATGAGTTGTAGTGTGAAAGATATGGAAACGTTCAAACCACTACCATGACTTATTTCCCCTTTTTTAAATAGTCAAATATGTGTACTCTTAAGCATCTTTTAACAGATTTGCACTAAACAAATTGAAAGGCAATTACTTCTCTTAATTATTATTATTATTTATAATACATAATAAAGAATGATATCGTATAAAAAGGAACTGTATTTAAAACTATTAATATAAATAAAACAAAAACAACATTAAAATAAACATAACGCGAGAAACCATTAAATATACGAAGCTATTAAGCTTAAAGCTGACACAAATTGAAACAGAGAATTTTAAAGCAGAGTAATAAAAAATAAAATTTCAAAACTCGACAAGCCCGACAAGCCACTGCCCCCCACACGCAGCCTAAAGCACGTCTACCGTAGCATTCAACGAAATATACTTTTATCTCGTATTTATATAACAATCATTGAAAAATCGCGAAGCAGAGTTAATTAGCGAAAATAAAATATAAACGAGTAATGGTGAAGTAACTCTTGAATGCAATATCAATTTAACGATTATTAAAATATATCGATATCGATAATGTTAAATCATTTAAATTATAAATAAAATTGTTAATTCCAATACTTACAAAAATAAATAAAAAGAAATATATTCTACTTATAATATAATAGATCTAAGATCTAGATCTACATATTTTCCGTTTTTAATAAAATTTTAAGGAATTCTTTTTACAATATCGACTACTGGATCTAAATTCTAGATTTAGACTTAGAATCTAGAAATATAGATCTAGAGTTTACATCTATTTCCGTTGTAAAAATATGTGACTTGTTGTCGCTACCAAGAAGTTGATAGTTCGACAAAGATCTAGATCTAGATCTCTAGACATCATTGCTTGTTATTAATATTCTAAATTATTGACAGAAACCATTAAACGATGAAACAAAACGCGCTTACGAGTTCCAGCCATAAGAGCTTTCATTTGCATTCATTCTTCGGTTTAGTCTCATCAGTCAATTTATTTTTGTTTGTTTTTGTAATGTGCTGCAATCAAAAAACTTTTGCAGTCGATGTTAATAGTAATAGTCTGGCATGTAAATTTACAAGTTACACCGATCAAAACATGTTGAAGGAAGAAATCGAAAGGATAACTCCATTGGTTGGGAAAACGTATGTATTCTGGTGGTCCAGAAAAAGTAATTAGATCATTAGATAGAATAATGAATAAGAGGTAATCTATCGTTTTGGGTACGTAAAATCGCCCGCGATTTGTAATGTGAAAAACAGGTGACTCCTTAAATTTTAATAATTATTTCACATTTTGAGGAGGATTTATGTTTTTAAAAATTCAAAAATGTTTCCTTGATTCATTTATGTACCTGTTTTTAAACAATTGAATTAAAACTTTTCCGTAATAAATGAAGACTAGCGATGTTTCCAACAGATGCAACCATGCTCATTTACTATAGCAGCCATCTTGTCTAAGTTTTATTTTCATAAGCTTTTAGCGCCAGATTCAGGGGGAAGCCACTCTATTTTACAAATGGCTGCTGTTTATATAGCAAATCTTGCTCTCAGACACTGCTGTTTAAAGTTAATTTCTGGCCTATATCGATATATTTAGCCATTGATTTAGGTTTATTATTCATTTATCTATAATATTTGACACAAAAGTATGACAATATACTTCTATTAAAGCCTTGACAATGAGGTAACGTTTTCGTACATAAATAGCCGCGGGCGATTTTACGTACCCAAAACGTTAGATTACCGAATAAGAATATAGGCCTATAATTTTATATATAGATAGGGCCTAGGGGGCCTATAGAATAATCTAGAGATCTCTACTATTCTACAGTATACTGAACCCTTTGTCTGACTACTCTTACGACTTACTGTCTTCCTCTAGGCTACAGCCTCACTTACTAAACTATAAATTAAATCAGGTTAGATATCTCAGAAGGTCAGTAAAACCTTAGTTTAGCATCTGTTATTATTTCGGAATGGTATAGGCCTAGCAGTAGTAGTAAAAAACAATGGCAAAGTCTGTCACACACTTCTGGAATCCACGGGAAGTACTGTAAACCATTTTTTTTATACAGAACGTTTAAAATTAGGGTAATCTATCGCTTTAGGTATGTAAAATTGGCAGCGGCTAGTAATGTACGAAAAAGTTACCTCATTGTCAAGTCTTTAATAGAAGTAGGCCTATATTGTGATATATTTGTGTCAAACATTATAGATAACTGAATAATAAACCAAAATCAATGGCTAAATATATCAATATTATTATAGGCCAGAAATTAACTTTAAACAGCAGTGTTTGCGAGCAAGATTTGTTATATAAACAGCAGCCGTTTGTAAAATAGTGGCTTCCCCTGAATCTTGCGCTATAACTTTACAAAAAAAAACTTAAACAAGATGGCTGCTATAGTAAATGAGCATGGTTGCATCTGTTTGAAACATCGCTAGTCTTCATTTATTATAGTCTTTTTTATTATGATAATTTTACGTACGCAAAGCGATCGATTACCAAAATTAGGATAGATTGATTTTAATCATTTTGTATTGCTAGTTATTTTTAAGTGTTTCTGCAAAATATTTGTGCTACTAAACATTGTTTAACAGGGTTCGTACGCAGTCTGGAAAAAGTCTTGAATTTAGAAAATTGAATTTCAGACTTTAAAAACTCTGGACAGTTCTACACTGTTATATGACGTTTTTCGTTGGATCGAAGAAGAAACCTGATTGCTCACTTACTTTACTACGTCTTTGGGGAAGAGGGGAAGGGAAAAGTGTTAGACCTGTTTTTTTTTTTTTTGTTGTTGCGTGACCGTCAGTGTATATGTACTAAAAGTATTTAAAATTGATTATTTTATGATAGAATGATCAGCCATACCAGTCTTGGCCTCTTTTTTTACCTGCTATTGTTCCTTAAGTTTGTCTGCGGTTGCAGGCAGGCAGTCATATCAAAATATTTTGAATGAAGTTGTAAGTGGTATTGAACATATAATTTATCTACCTGTATTTTCAATTCAGTTTCCGTTAAACTGTTTTTGATATCTTTACAAAAGCTGTTGATTAGGGCTTGACTACCCCGCCCCTCCTTGTAACTACTGTCACTGATATCTAAACTTGTGTGAACTTACCGTGACCCCAAGTACATAGCTGGTGCTGTGTGATCCCAAGTACATAGCTGGTGCTGTGTATGTGACCTCAGAGTGACCCCTTCATCGTGTCTTGTGTGTGTGTGGAGGGGGGGGGGGGGGGGGTGGGGTGGATACCAGTAATTTTTATTAGCAGGCAAAAGTTTCTCAGCTATAAGCACAAAATAATGGTGTGGTTACAAATGTTTGGTTTCATTTTAAAAATAGTGTAGGAACCCTGGTTCAGTGGTTCGGGACATTTTTACTATTTTTGTAGGCCCTAATTTCGTAAATTATTTTTACTTGGCCTAGCAGCTAGTTAGATCTAGATCTAATTAATCAATGGTCGCAAATCCGCTACAAGCCAAAAACATTAAACAAATTACTACATTTGACTTTATTATTTATATATTTTTAAAATTTTTAGATCTTCTAATTTAAATCTACTATATTTATTCCTGTTTCCTTTTGTTGATTAAACTTAAAAAATTAAAACATTAATTTACTACAATGGTTTATATTTATATTTCAATGTCGAATATGTTTACAAAACTCAACAAACATTATCGGATAATTACCTACGCTAAACTAAGGTTATATCAATAGGTTCTTTACTAGCTATACTTGATAGATTATTTTTTCATTTAAACAATTTTATGTCAGGGAAAACTAGAGATTTCTCTATTCAACTAGACGTTAAATTTTATAGTTCTAGCTCATTTGGGGCTAAAATAAAAAAAATTAATTATGCTCCAGATCCTACTTGGGATTTTTTTTCCGTGCCAAAAAACGACCTTGGAGGCTCGTAAAGTGGGGGAAGTGGTGGTATGCAGCAATAAAATGTAATAAAAAGGATACCCTTAACTTGGTTATGTAACCTATTTACTATATTTTTAATTAAGGCCTACTAAATGAACCAAAAATAATTGTTTTAATGTTAAAAAATGTAGGCCTATAGATTTAAACTTTTTAAAGATACTCATATTATATTCAATTTTGATTAATCAGTGTGTTTTAGTAATGTTTAATTTGGGCAATTTATAAAAGATAGCGTTGTAAAATGAATCCAACCCTCCTTCCTCTCCTGGCTTGGGACCCCCATAATATTCTGAAAGCCTTGTCTAGGCTGAGCTCAAAATATTTTATTAAAATTTATATCAAGGTCTATTTAATTTTTCTTTTGAAAACTGTAATTGCATTAAAATTGATGACATGTTAGCGTGAAATGCTTCCCAAACACTGTCACAGGCAGCCTGTGAGACAGACAGCTTGTGTAGTTACTCGCATAAATAAGCATATATATTTCCAATGCTCACTAATTCCAGTGATCAACACAAAATTAAAAAAAAAAGTGTATATCGTTGTCATTTGGGCAGGTTTTAGAGGCAAAGTATAACCCAATAGCCAGGTGAAAGATCGATAATTAGGCTAGCAATTCCAAGACGAAGGTATCTGGAAAATTTCAATGGAAGGGGGTCATAAACAAGGTTCACGACTGGAGTTGTTATAACTATGGCCTATAACGCAGCAGGCTTGAGAAATGGGCACTGGACTAGAGTTGTTATAACTGTGGCCTATAACCCAGCAGGCTTGAGAAATGGGCACTGGACTAGAGTTGTTATAACTGTGGCCTATAACCCAGCAGGCTTGAGAAATGGGCACTGGACTAGAGTTGTTATAACTGTGGCCTATAACCCAGCAGGCTTGAGAAATAGGCACTGGACTAGAGTTGTTATAACTGTGGCCTATAACCCAGCAGGCTTGAGAAATAGGCACTGGACTAGAGTTGTTATAACTGTGGCCTATAACCCAGCAGGCTTGAGAAATGGGCACTGGACTGGAGTTGTTATAACTGTGGCCTATAACCCAGCAGGCTTGAGAAATGGGCACTGGACTGGAGTTGTTATAACTGTGGCCTATAACCCAGCAGGCTTGAGAGCCAGTGGGTTGTGAGCTCACCTGAAGTCCTGAATGTCAAAATGTAGAGCCATAAGCTTATTATTCCAAAAGGTTGTCCATGCCCTTCTAAATTAAAAACCAGCAAGCTGTAGATTTTCTGGCAACAAATGAAAGGTCATCCATTTCTTGATACATATTTTGTTAACTCCACTAGTGTTTGATTGTGTTTAGGCTTGTGTCACCATTACCTCACTAGTGTTTGATTGTGTCTCTGTGTTTAGGCTGGTGGCTGATGTTACCATTATGTCGCATGATGCATAAGCACAGCAATTCTGGAATAAAAAAGAACAAAAATAGCCCCTTTTTCTACATGTAGAAAAAAAAGGACATTTTTTGGACTAGTATGATTATAAACGCCGCACATGGCAGAACATGAATACACCCTATCAATAATTTCACTCATAATTGAGTGATTTTCATACGTTTGGTAAACATCAGTTTTTTAATAACAATTACGAGGACAAATAAATGAAAATAATGAATATAATGGAACAGCTTTTTAAGATTATTAGTCAAATTGTGTGCATTGTCTTGATGTGTGCTTATTCTAGAGTAGTTTAGAATAATATAGCTTGTAAGGGCATGTTTTAAAACAACTAATTTAGTTTCTGACTGTATACAACATTTAATTATGAATTGAGAAGCTCACACATTACAGTAATAGAGCAATCCCAACATTTCAATAGAGTTTAAATAAAAAAAATGGCACTGAGCAATTTGCAGCTAAAACTAAAACACTGACAGTGTTTAGCCAAGTAGAATGAGTCCAGTTGCTTGCACCAGAAATTTACTCATGTCCTTCTTAAAATTTTGGTAGACTTATAGTAGATCACTTGTTGTTCTAATTTGTTGACAGTGATTAAAGTGCTTTTATTTTTAAACCTTAAATTTTAGAAAAGATATTCATCTTTAAGGCTGGTATCTTTGGATATGAGGTTGTGGTATGTTTGAATATGGGCTAGTGGTATGTTTGAATATGGGCTAGTGGTATGTTTGAATATGGGCTAGTGGTATGTTTGAATATGGGCTTGTGGTATGTTTGAATATGTGCTAGTGGTATGTTTGAATATGGGCTAGTGGTATGTTTGAATATGGGCTAGTGGTATGTTTGGATATGGGCTAGTGGTATGTTTGGATATGGGCTAGTGGTATGTTTGAATATGGGCTAGTGGTATGTTTGAATATGGGCTAGTGGTATGTTTGAATATGGGCTAGTGGTATGTTTGAATATGGGCTAGTGGTATGTTTGGATATGGGCTAGTGGTATGTTTGAATATGGGCTAGTGGTATGTTTGAATATGGGCTAGTGGTATGTTTGAATATGGGCTGGTGGTATGTTTGAATATGGGCTGGTGGTATGTTTGAATATGGGCTTGTGGTATGTTTGAATATGGGCTAGTGGTATGTTTGGATATGGGCTAGTGGTATGTTTGGATATGGGCTAGTGGTATGTTTGAATATGGGCTAGTGGTATATAAGATAAAAATGCTAGGCATTTGTGTGTAGATCAGCTTCACAAGTTTCTAGATAAATCAACACATTAAATACACTCCTGATTGATTGGGGTAGAGATTACTTTTTTTTAAACATTCTCAACAACTAAGTTTTCTGATCTAAAATTGTTTGTGCAGGTACACATCTCAAAATAACGAGCGAGAGTATCAGTTCATCGTTGGCATCTGCCAGCCTGTCATTGAAGGCACGATAGTGGCAGTGGTGCAGCAGAAACTAGATGCCAGTGGAAAAGTCAATGGAGATATCAACACCTGGTTCCATCTGGGGAACCTTAATGACACACATATCATGCTAGGCAGTAAGATGAACATTTTCTCCTCTGATAAATTAGGCTCAGCTTGGCAGTAAGATGAACATTTTGTCCTCTGATAAATTAGGCTCAGCTTGGCAGTAAGATGAACATTTTCTCATGATAAATTAGGCTCAGCTAGGCAGTAAGATGAACATTTTCTCCTCTGATAAATTAGGCTCAGCTAGGCAGTAAGATGAACATTTTCTCATGATAAATTAGGCTCAGCTAGGCAGTAAGATGAACATTTTCTCCTCTGATAAATTAGGCTCAGCTAGGCAGTAAGATGAACATTTTCTCCTGATAAATTAGGCTCAGCTAGGCAGTAAGATGAACATTTTCTCATGATAAATTAGGCTCAGCTAGGCAGTAAGATGAACATTTTCTCCTGATAAATTAGGCTCAGCTAGGCAGTAAGATGAACATTTTCTCATGATAAATTAGGCTCAGCTAGGCAGTAAGATGAACATTTTCTCCTGATAAATTAGGCTCAGCTAGGCAGTAAGATGAACATTTTCTCATGATAAATTAGGCTCAGCTAGGCAGTAAGATGAACATTTTCTCATATGATAAATTACTCCGGCTCAGCCAACCACCTGATTTATTATTTATTCAATTGCTATAATTTGGGCTGATTCTTGCTCACTTATTTTTTTATCTAAAACAGCCTCCTACCTGAGTTCCCATTAACACAAACAGCCTCCTACCTGAGTTCCCATTAACACAAACAGCCTCCTACCTGAGTTCCCATTAACACAAACAGCCTCCTACCTGAGTTCCCATTAACACAAACAGCCTCCTACCTGAGTTCCCATTAACACAAACAGCCTCCTACCTGAGTTCCCATTAACACAAACAGCCTCCTACCTGAGTTCCCATTAACACAAACAGCCTCCTACCTGAGTTCCCATGAACACAAACAGCCTCCTACCTGAGTTCCCATTAACACAAACAGCCTCCTACCTGAGTTCCCATTAACACAAACAGCCTCCTACCTGAGTTCCCATTAACACAAACAGCCTCCTACCTGAGTTCCCATTAACACAAACAGCCTCCTACCTGAGTTCCCATTAACACAAACAGCCTCCTACCTGAGTTCCCATGAACACAAACAGCCTCCTACCTGAGTTCCCATTAACACAAACAGCCTCCTACCTGAGTTCCCATTAACACAAACAGCCTCCTACCTGAGTTCCCATTAACACAAACAGCCTCCTACCTGAGTTCCCATTAACACAAACAGCCTCCTACCTGAGTTCCCATTAACACAAACAGCCTCCTACCTGAGTTCCCATTAACACAAACAGCCTCCTACCTGAGTTCCCATTAACACAAACAGCCTCCCACCTCTCCTCATCTGATATCACAAGTCCCCCCCCCCCCCCCCACCTCTATTTCTCTATTTGTTTTCTATTTCCCACAATTTATCTTTTAAATTTTGTTTTCTAAAAATATTTTTGTTAGCAGATATTGTTTAAACCACTGCCAGTCATCATCTGAAAACTCATCCCCCTTTCCCCCCACCCTGTTTACTGTTTTTTTTCTAGTTCAATCAATGCATTCTCTCTCCCCCCCCCCCATTAATTAATTTTTTAAAAATAGGTTAAATAATGTATAACTGGATCAGCTGACTGGCTGTTTCTTGCGGGTTTTTTCCTTTATATTACAGTTTTTTGTTTATATTTTAGCTGACTGGCTGTTTCTTGAGGGTTTTTTCCTTTATATTACAGTTTTTTGTTTATATTTTAGCTGACTGGCTGTTTCTTGAGTATAAAGGTGGAGATGTATATGGAAGTCATTGTGGGAATGAAAAGAAACACACAGCCATTATGATAAGTTGTGATGAAAATGTTGATGATGTAAGTCAGTATAATAGTATTTCAACACATTCATTCTGTGTTCATACAAGTAACAAATAAGTTGTGTGTTCAGATAGGCAACACATAAGTTGTGTGTTCAGATAGGCAACACATACGTTGTGTGTTCAGATAGGCAACACAAAACACTTGTAATATCTGTATCAACACTTGCCTCCACCCACACTGTATCAACACTTGCCTCCACCCACACTTGCCTCCACCCACACTTGCCTCCACCCACACTTGCCTCCACCCACACTGTATCAACACTTGCCTCCACCCACACTGTATCAACACTTGCCCCCACCCACACTGTATCAACACTTGCCTCCACCCACACTGTATCAACACTTGCCCCCACCCACACTTGCCTCCACCCACACTGTATCAACACTTGCCTCCACCCACACTGTATCAACACTTGCCTCCACCCACACTGTATCAACACTTGCCCCCACCCACACTTGCCTCCACCCACACTTGCCTCCACCCACACTTGCCTCCACCCACACTTGCCTCCACCCACACTGTATCAACACTTGCCTCCACCCACACTGTATCAACACTTGCCCCCACCCACACTGTATCAACACTTGCCTCCACCCACACTGTATCAACACTTGCCCCCACCCACACTTGCCTCCACCCACACTGTATCAACACTTGCCTCCACCCACACTGTATCAACACTTGCCTCCACCCACACTGTATCAACACTTGCCCCCACCCACACTTGCCTCCACCCACACTTGCCTCCACCCACACTTGCCTCCACCCACACTTGCCTCCACCCACACTGTATCAACACTTGCCTCCACCCACACTGTATCAACACTTGCCTCCACCCACACTTGCCTCCACCCACACTGTATCAACACTTGCCTCCACCCACACTTGCCTCCACCCACACTGTATCAACACTTGCCTCCACCCACACTTGCCTCCACCCACACTTGCCTCCACCCACACTTGCCTCCACCCACACTTGCCTCCACCCACACTGTATCAACACTTGCCTCCACCCACACTGTATCAACACTTGCCTCCACCCACACTGTATCAACACTTGCCTCCACCCACACTGTATCAACACTTGCCTCCACCCACACTTGCCTCCACCCACACTGTATCAACACTTGCCTCCACCCACACTTGCCTCCACCCACACTGTATCAACACTTGCCTCCACCCACACTTGCCTCCACCCACACTGTATCAACACTTGCCTCCACCCACACTTGCCTCCACCCACACTTGCCTCCACCCACACTGTATCAACACTTGCCTCCACCCACACTATCAACACTTGCCTCCACCCACACTTGCCTCCACCCACACTGTATCAACACTTGCCTCCACCCACACTGTATCAACACTTGCCCCCACCCACACTGTATCAACACTTGCCTCCACCCACACTTGCCTCCACCCACATTGTAGCAACACTTGCCTCCACCCACACTGTATCAACACTTGCCTCCACCCACTCTGTATCAACACTTGCCTCCACCCACACTGTATCAACACTTGCCTCCACCCACACTTGCCCCCACCCACACTTGCCTCCACCCACACTTGCCTCCACCCACACTGTATCAACACTTGCCTCCACCCACACTGTATCAACACTTGCCTCCACCCACACTGTATCAACACTTGCCTCCACCCACACTTGCCTCCACCCACACTGTATCAACACTTGCCTCCACCCACACTGTATCAACACTTGCCCCCACCCACACTTGCCTCCACCCACACTGTATCAACACTTGCCTCCACCCACACTGTATCAACACTTGCCTCCACCCACACTGTATCGACACTTGCCTCCACCCACACTGTATCAACACTTGCCTCCACCCACACTGTATCAACACTTGCCTCCACCCACACTTGCCTCCACCCACACTGTATCAACACTTGCCTCCACCCACACTTGCCTCCACCCACACTTGCCTCCACCCACACTGTATCAACACTTGCCTCCACCCACTCTGTATCAACACTTGCCTCCACCCACACTGTATCAACACTTGCCTCCACCCACACTTGCCTCCACCCACACTTGCCTCCACCCACACTGTATCAACACTTGCCTCCACCCACTCTGTATCAACACTTGCCTCCACCCACACTGTATCAACACTTGCCTCCACCCACACTTGCCTCCACCCACACTGTATCGACACTTGCCTCCACCCACACTGTATCAACACTTGCCTCCACCCACTCTGTATCAACACTTGCCTCCACCCACACTGTATCAACACTTGCCTCCACCCACACTGTATCAACACTTGCCTCCACCCACACTGTATCAACACTTGCCCCCACCCACACTGTATCGACACTTGCCTCCACCCACACTGTATCAACACTTGCCTCCACCCACACTGTATCAACACTTGCCTCCACCCACACTGTATCAACACTTGCCTCCACCCACACTGTATCAACACTTGCCTCCACCCACACTTGCCTCCACCCACACTTGCCTCCACCCACACTGTATCAACACTTGCCTCCACCCACACTGTATCAACACTTGCCTCCACCCACACTGTATCAACACTTGCCTCCACCCACACTTGCCTCCACCCACACTTGCCTCCACCCACACTTGCCTCCACCTACACTGTATCAACACTTGCCTCCACCCACACTTGCCTCCACCCACACTGTATCAACACTTGCCTCCACCCACACTTGCCCCCACCCACACTTGCCTCCACCCACACTTGCCCCCACCCACACTTGCCTCCACCCACACTTGCCCCCACCCACACTTGCCTCCACCCACACTTGCCTCCACCCACACTTGCCTCCACCCACACTGTATCAACACTTGCCTCCACCCACACTGTATCAACACTTGCCCCCACCCACACTGTATCAACACTTGCCTCCACCCACACTTGCCCCCACCCACACTGTATCAACACTTGCCTCCACCCACACTGTATCAACACTTGCCCCCACCCACACTTGCCTCCACCCACACTGTATCAACACTTGCCCCCACCCACACTTGCCTCCACCCACACTTGCCTCCACCCACACTTGCCTCCACCCACACTGTATCAACACTTGCCCCCACCCACACTTGCCTCCACCCATACTTGCCTCCACCCACACTGTATCAACACTTGCCCCCACCCACACTTGCCTCCACCCACACTGTATCAATGATTGCCTCCACCCACACTGTATCAACACTTGCCCCCACCCACACTTGCCTCCACCCACACTTGCCTCCACCCACACTGTATCAACACTTGCCTCCACCCACACTGTATCAACACTTGCCTCCACCCACACTTGCCTCCACCCACACTTGCCTCCACCCACACTGTATCAACACTTGCCTCCACCCACACTGTATCAATGATTGCCTCCACCCACACTGTATCAACACTTGCCCCCACCCACACTTGCCTCCACCCACACTTGCCTCCACCCACACTGTATCAACACTTGCCTCCACCCACACTTGCCTCCACCCACACTTGCCTCCACCCACACTGTATCAACACTTGCCTCCACCCACACTGTATCAATGATTGCCTCCACCCACACTGTATCAACACTTGCCCCCACCCACACTTGCCTCCACCCACACTTGCCTCCACCCACACTGTATCAACACTTGCCTCCACCCACACTGTATCAACACTTGCCCCCACCCACACTTGCCTCCACCCACACTTGCCTCCACCCACACTGTATCAACACTTGCCTCCACCCACACTGTATCAATGATTGCCTCCACCCACACTTGCCTCCACCCACACTGTATCAACACTTGCCTCCACCCACACTGTATCAACACTTGCCCCCACCCACACTTGCCTCCACCCACACTGTATCAACACTTGCCTCCACCCACACTTGCCTCCACCCACACTGTATCAACACTTGCCTCCACCCACACTGTATCAACACTTGCCCCCACCCACACTTGCCCCCACCCACACTGTATCAACACTTGCCTCCACCCACACTGTATCAACACTTGCCTCCACCCACACTGTATCAACACTTGCCTCCACCCACACTGTATCAACACTTGCCTCCACCCACACTGTATCAACACTTGCCTCCACCCACACTGTATCAACACTTGCCTCCACCCACACTGTATCAACACTTGCCTCCACCCACACTGTATCAACACTTGCCTCCACCCACACTGTATCAACACTTGCCTCCACCCACACTGTATCAACACTTGCCTCCACCCACACTTGCCTCCACCCACACTGTATCAACACTTGCCTCCACCCACACTGTATCAACACTTGCCCCCACCCACACTGTATCAACACTTGCCTCCACCCACACTGTATCAACACTTGCCTCCACCCACACTTGCCTCCACCCACACTGTATCAACACTTGCCTCCACCCACACTGTATCAACACTTGCCTCCACCCACACTGTATCAACACTTGCCTCCACCCACACTGTATCAACACTTGCCTCCACCCACACTTGCCTCCACCCACACTGTATCAACACTTGCCTCCACCCACACTGTATCAACACTTGCCTCCACCCACACTTGCCTCCACCCACACTGTATCAACACTTGCCTCCACCCACACTGTATCAACACTTGCCTCCACCCACACTGTATCAACACTTGCCTCCACCCACACTGTATCAACACTTGCCCCCACCCACACTGTATCAACACTTGCCCCCACCCACACTGTATCAACACTTGCCTCCACCCACACTGTATCAACACTTGCCTCCACCCACACTTGCCTCCACCCACACTGTATCAACACTTGCCTCCACCCACACTGTATCAACACTTGCCTCCACCCACACTGTATCAACACTTGCCTCCACCCACACTGTATCAACACTTGCCTCCACCCACACTTGCCTCCACCCACACTGTATCAACACTTGCCTCCACCCACACTGTATCAACACTTGCCTCCACCCACACTGTATCAACACTTGCCTCCACCCACACTGTATCAACACTTGCCTCCACCCACACTGTATCAACACTTGCCTCCACCCACACTGTATCAACACTTGCCTCCACCCACACTGTATCAACACTTGCCCCCACCCACACTTGCCTCCACCCACACTGTATCAACACTTGCCTCCACCCACACTGTATCAACACTTGCCTCCACCCACACTGTATCAACACTTGCCTCCACCCACACTGTATCAACACTTGCCTCCACCCACACTGTATCAACACTTGCCTCCACCCACACTGTATCAACACTTGCCTCCACCCACACTTGCCCCCACCCACACTTGCCTCCACCCACACTTGCCTCCACCCACACTGTATCAACACTTGCCTCCACCCACACTGTATCAACACTTGCCCCCACCCACACTTGCCTCCACCCACACTGTATCAACACTTGCCTCCACCCACACTTGCCTCCACCCACACTGTATCAACACTTGCCTCCACCCACACTTGCCTCCACCCACACTGTATCAACACTTGCCTCCACCCACACTGTATCAACACTTGCCTCCACCCACACTTGCCTCCACCCACACTTGCCTCCACCCACACTGTATCAACACTTGCCTCCACCCACACTGTATCAACACTTGCCTCCACCCACACTGTATCAACACTTGCCCCCACCCACACTTGCCCCCACCCACACTGTATCAACACTTGCCCCCACCCACACTTGCCCCCACCCACACTGTATCAACACTTGCCCCCACCCACACTGTATCAACACTTGCCTCCACCCACACTGTATCAACACTTGCCTCCACCCACACTTGCCTCCACCCACACTTGCCTCCACCCACACTGTATCAACACTTGCCTCCACCCACACTTGCCTCCACCCACACTTGCCTCCACCCACACTGTATCAACACTTGCCTCCACCCACACTTGCCTCCACCCACACTTGCCTCCACCCACACTGTATCAACACTTGCCCCCACCCACACTTGCCCCCACCCACACTTGCCCCCACCCACACTTGCCTCCACCCACACTTGCCTCCACCCACAATGTATCAACACTTGCCTCCACCCGCACTTGCCTCCACCCACACTGTATCAACACTTGCCCCCACCCACACTTGCCCCCACCCACACTTGCCCCCACCCACACTTGCCTCCACCCACACTTGCCTCCACCCACACTTGCCTCCACCCACACTGTATCAACACTTGCCTCCACCCACACTTGCCTCCACCCACACTTGCCTCCACCCACACTGTATCAACACTTGCCTCCACCCACACTTGCCTCCACCCACACTGTATCAACACTTGCCTCCACCCACACTTGCCTCCACCCACACTGTATCAACACTTGCCTCCACCCACACTGTATCAACACTTGCCTCCACCCACACTGTATCAACACTTGCCTCCACCCACACTGTATCAACACTTGCCTCCACCCACACTTGCCCCCACCCACACTTGCCTCCACCCACACTGTATCAACACGTGCCTCCACCCACACTGTATCAACACTTGCCTCCACCCACATTGCCCCCACCCACACTTGCCTCCACCCACAATGTATCAACACTTGCCTCCACCCGCACTTGCCTCCACCCACACTGTATCAACACTTGCCCCCACCCACACTTGCCCCCACCCACACTTGCCTCCACCCACACTGTATCAACACTTGCCTCCACCCACACTTGCCCCCACCCACACTTGCCTCCACCCACACTGTATCAACACGTGCCTCCACCCACACTGTATCAACACTTGCCTCCACCCACACTGTATCAACACTTGCCTCCACCCACATTGTATCAACACTTGCCTCCACCCACACTGTATCAACACTTGCCTCCACCCACACTTGCCTCCACCCACACTGTATCAACACTTGCCTCCACCCACACTGTATCAACACTTGCCTCCACCCACACTTGCCCCCACCCACACTTGCCTCCACCCACACTGTATCAACACGTGCCTCCACCCACACTGTATCAACACTTGCCTCCACCCACACTGTATCAACACTTGCCTCCACCCACACTATCAACACTTGCCTCCACCCACACTGTATCAACACTTGCCTCCACCCACATTGTATCAACACTTGCCTCCACCCACACTTGCCCCCACCCACACTTGCCCCCACCCACACTTGCCTCCACCCACACTGTATCAACACTTGCCTCCACCCACATTGTATCAACACTTGCCTCCACCCACACTTGCCCCCACCCACACTTGCCTCCACCCACACTTGCCTCCACCCACACTGTATCAACACTTGCCCCCACCCACACTTGCCTCCACCCACACTTTCCTCCACCCACACTGTATCAACACTTGCCTCCACCCACACTGTATCAACACTTGCCCCCACCCACACTGTATCAACACTTGCCTCCACCCACACTTTTCTCCACCCACACTTGCCCCCACCCACACTGTATCAACACTTGCCTCCACCCACACTTTTCTCCACCCACACTTGCCTCCACCCACACTGTATCAACACTTGCCTCCACCCACACTGTATCAACACTTGCCTCCACCCACACTGTATCAACACTTGCCTCCACCCACACTGTATCAACACTTGCCTCCACCCACACTGTATCAACACTTGCCTCCACCCACACTGTATCAACACTTGCCTCCACCCACACTTTCCTCCACCCACACCTAACCCTCATGTGAAGAGAATATAAACTGTAGTTTTCACCCCCAGAACACGGCTAAGATGACATTTATAGAAGAAGAGAAAGCCAAAACAGACAGCTGCTACTATCTGTTTGAGATGAAACATCAGGCTGTTTGTCCCAAGTACTCATCTAGCTCTGGCCTAAGTGTTGGCTCAATACTTGTCATTGTGTAAGTTAAGGCTGTTTACTGTTTGTTTGTTATTGTGTAAGTTAAGGCTGTTTACGGTGTGTTTGTTATTGTGTAAGTTAAGGCTGTTTTACTGTGTTTGTTATTGTGTAAGTTAGGGCTGTTTACTGTGTGTTTGTTATTGTGTAAGTTAAGGCTGTTTACTGTGTTTGTTATTGTGTAAGTTAAGGCTGTTTACGGTGTGTTTGTTATTGTGTAAGTTAAGGCTGTTTAACTGTGTTTGTTATTGTGTAAGTTAGGGCTGTTTACTGTGTGTTTGTTATTGTGTAAGATAAGGCTGTTTACTGTGTGTTTGTTAAAGTTAAGGCTGTTTACTGTGTGTTTGTTAAAGTTAAGGCTGTTTACTGTGTGTTTGTTATTGTGTAAGTTAAGGCTGTTTACTGTGTGTTTGTTATTGTGTAAGTTAAGGCTGATTACTGTTTGTTTGTTATTGTGTAAGTTAAGGCTGTTTACTGTGTGTTTGTTAAAGTTAAGGCTGTTTACTGTGTGTTTGTTAAAGTTAAGGCTGTTTACTGTGTGTTTGTCATTGTGTAAGTTAAGGCTGTTTACTGTGTGTTTGTTAAAGTTAAGGCTGTTTACTGTGTGTTTGTTAAAGTTAAGGCTGTTTACTGTGTGTTTGTCATTGTGTAAGTTAAGGCTGTTTACTGTGTGTTTGTTAAAGTTAAGGCTGTTTACTGTGTGTTTGTTAAAGTTAAGGCTGTTTACTGTGTTTGTTATTGTGTAAGTTAAGGCTGTTTACTGTGTGTTTGTGAAAGTTAAGGCTGTTTACGGTGTGTTTGATATTGTGTAAGTTAAGGCTGTTTACTGTGTGTTTGTGAAAGTTAAGGCTGTTTACGGTGTGTTTGATATTGTGTAAGTTAAGGCTGTTTACTGTGTTTGTTATTGTGTAAGTTAAGGCTGTTTACTGTGTGTTTGTTATTGTGTAAGTTAAGGCTGTTTACTGTGTGTTTGTTAAAGTTAAGGCTGTTTACTGTGTGTTTGTTAAAGTTAAGGCTGTTTACTGTGTTTGTTATTGTGTAAGTTAAGGCTGTTTACTGTGTGTTTGTTAAAGTTAAGGCTGTTTACTGTTTGTTTGTTAAAGTTAAGGCTGTTTACTGTTTGTTTGTTATTGTGTAAGTTAAGGCTGTTTACTGTTTGTTTGTTATTGTGTAAGTTAAGGCTGTTTACTGTGTTTGTTATTGTGTAAGTTAAGGCTGTTTACTGTGTGTTTGTTATTGTGTAAGTTAAGGCTGTTTACTGTGTGTTTGTTATTGTGTAAGTTAAGGCTGTTTACTGTGTTTGTTATTGTGTAAGTTAAGGCTGTTTACTGTGTTTGTTATTGTGTAAGTTAAGGCTGTTTACTGTTTGTTTGTTATTGTGTAAGTTAAGGCTGTTTACTGTTTGTTTGTTATTGTGTAAGATAAGGCTGTTTACTGTGTGTTTGTTATTGTGTAAGTTAAGGCTGTTTACTGTGTTTGTTATTGTGTAAGTTAAGGCTGTTTACTGTGTGTTTGTTAAAGTTAAGGCTGTTTACTGTTTGTTTGTTAAAGTTAAGGCTGTTTACGGTGTGTTTGATATTGTGTAAGTTAAGAATGTTTGACAGTCTGTTAAGATGTTTAACTATGTTTGACAGTCTGTTACTAATAAGATGTTTAACTCTTGACCATTTTTTGTTCAGTTTCTTCAGTGTGCTTGCTGTTTATCTGATTGTTGGCTTTGCCTATCAGCGTCTGGTGTTAAAATCTAAAGGAATAGAGCAGATTCCTAATTACCAGTTTTGGAAAGACTTTGGCAATCTCCAAGCAGTAAGAAATTTTGACCTTTAGTAAAGTGGGAGAGGGTTCTCCCGATATTTCCAAATTTGACAATTAGCTATAAATTTTGGATCTAATTAAGCTATAAATTTTGAATCTAATTAAGCTATAAATTTTGGATCTAATTTAGCTATAAATTTTGGATCTAATTAAGCTATAAATTTTGGATCTAATTAAGCTATAAATTTTGAATCTAATTAAGCTATAAATTTTGGATCTAATTTAGCTATAAATTTTGGATCTAATTAAGCTATAAATTTTGGATTTAATTAAGCTATAAATTTTGGATCTAATTTAGCTATAAATTTTGGATCTAATGAAGCTATAAATTTTGGATCTAAATTAACTATAAATTTTGGATCTAATTTAGCTATTTTCCATTGAACTAAAAAGTTCCAACTGTCAAAGTTTTTCTTTTCTAAAAATGTTTTTAGAAATATTAAGGGTTATCTGGCCATAGTGTAATGGTATCTGGCCATGGTGTAATGGTATCTGGCCATGTTTTAATGGTATGTGGCCATGGTGTAATGGTATCTGGCCATGGTGTAATGGTATCTGGCCATGGTGTAATGGTATCTGGCCATGGTGTAATGGTATCTGGCCATTGTGTAATGGTATCTGGCCATGGTGTAATGGTATCTGGCCATGGTGTAATGGTATCTGGCCATGGTGTAATGGTATCTGGCCATTGTGTAATGTTATCTGGCCATGGTGTAATGGTATCTGGCCATGGTGTAATGTTATCTGGCCATGGTGTAATGTTATCTGGCCATGGTGTAATGGTATCTGGCCATGGTGTAATGGTATCTGGCCATGGTGTAATGTTATGTGGCCATGGTGTAATGGTATCTGGCCATGGTGTAATGGTATCTGGCCATGGTGTAATGGTATCTGGCCATGGTGTAATGGTATCTGGCCATGTTGTAATGTTATCTGGCCATGGTGTAATGGTATCTGGCCATGGTGTAATGTTATGTGGCCATGGTGTAATGGTATCTGGCCATGGTGTAATGGTATCTGGCCATGGTGTAATGGTATCTGGCCATGGTGTAAGGGTATCTGGCCATGGTGTAATGGTATCTGGCCATGTTGTAATGTTATCTGGCCATGGTGTAATGGTATCTGGCCATGGTGTAATGGTATCTGGCCATGGTGTAATGTTATGTGGCCATGGTGTAATGGTATCTGGCCATGGTGTAATGGTATCTGGCCATGGTGTAATGGTATCTGGTCATGGTGTAATGTTATCTGGCCATGGTGTAATGGTATCTGGTCATGGTGTAATGGTATCTGGCCATAATGTAATGGTATCTGGCCATGTTGTAATGTTATCTGGCCATAGTGTAATGGTATCTGGCCATGGTGTAATGTTATCTGGCCATCCATGATATAATGGTATCTGGCCATTGTGTAATGGTATCTGGCCATGGTGTAATGGTATCTGGCCATGGTGTAATGTTATCTGGCCATGGTGTAATGTTATCTGGCCATGGTGTAATGGTATGTGGCCATGGTGTAATGGTATCTGGCCATAATGTAATGGTATCTGGCCATGTTGTAATGTTATCTGGCCATGTTGTTATGTTATCTGGCCATGGTGTAATGGTATCTGGCCATGGTGTAATGGTATCTGGCCATGGTGTAATGGTATCTGGCCATGGTGTAATGGTATCTGGCCATGGTGTAATGTTATCTGGCCATGGTGTAATGTTATCTGGCCATGGTGTAACTGGCCATAGTGTAATGGTATCTGGCCATGGTGTAATGGTATCTGGCCATGGTGTAATGGTATCTGGCCATGGTGTAATGGTATCTGGCCATGTTGTAATGTTATCTGGCCATGGTGTAATGGTATCTGGCCATGGTGTAATGGTATCTGGCCATGGTGTAATGGTATCTGGCCATGGTGTAATGGTATCTGGCCATGGTGTAATGGTATCTGGCCATGGTGTAATGGTATCTGGCCATGGTGTAATGGTATCTGGCCATGGTGTAATGGTATCTGGCCATGGTGTAATGTTATCTGGCCATGTTGTAACTGGCCATGGTGTAATGGTATCTGGCCATGTTGTAACTGGCCATGGTGTAATGGTATGTGGCCATGTTGTAATGGTATCTGGCCATGGGGTAATGGTATGTGGCCATGGTGTAATGGTATGTGGCCATGGTGTAATGGTATCTGGCCATGTTGTAATGGTATCTGGCCATGGTGTAACTGGCCATAGTGTAATGGTATCTGGCCATGGTGTAATGGTATCTGGCCATGGTGTAATGGTATCTGGCCATGGTGTAATGGTTTCTGGCCATGGTGTAATCGTATCTGGTCATGGTGTAATGGTATGTGGCCATGGTGTAATGGTATCTGGCCATGGTGTAATGTTATCTGGCCATGGTGTAATGGTATCTGGCCATGGTGTAATGGTATCTGGCCATGGTGTAATGGTATGTGGCCATGGTGTAATGGTATCTGACCATGTTGCAATGTTATCTGGCCATGGTGTAACTGGCCATAATGTAATGGTATCTGGCCATGTTGTAATGTTATCTGGCCATGGTGTAATGGTATGTGGCCATGGTGTAATGGTATCTGGCCATGGTGTAATGGTATCTGGCCATGGTGTAATGGTATCTGGCCATGGTGTAATGGTATCTGGCCATGGTGTAATGGTATCTGGCCATGGTGTAATGGTATCTGGCCATGGTGTAATGTTATCTGGCCATGTTGTAACTGGCCATGGTGTAATGGTATCTGGCCATGTTGTAATGGTATGTGGCCATGGTGTAATGGTATGTGGCCATGGTGTAATGGTATGTGGCCATGGTGTAATGGTATCTGGCCATGTTGTAATGGTATCTGGCCATGGTGTAACTGGCCATGGTGTAATGGTATCTGGCCATGGTGTAATGTTATCTGGCCATGGTGTAATGGTATCTGGCCATGGTGTAATGGTATGTGGCCATGGTGTAATGGTATCTGGCCATGGTGTAATGTTATCTGGCCATGGTGTAATGGTATCTGGCCATGGTGTAATGGTATCTGGCCATGTTGTAATGGTATCTGGCCATGGTGTAATGTTATCTGGCCATGTTGTAATGGTATCTGGCCATGTTGTAACTGGCCATGGTGTAATGGTATCTGGCCATGGTGTAATGTTATCTGGCCATGGTGTAATGGTATCTGGCCATGGTGTAATGTTATCTGGCCATGGTGTAATGGTATCTGGCCATGGTGTAATGTTATCTGGCCATGTTGTAATGTTATCTGGCCATATTGTAATGTTATCTGGCCATGGTGTAATGGTATGTGGCCATGGTGTAATGGTATGTGGTCATGTTGTAATGGTATCTGGCCATGTTGTAATGTTATCTGGCCATGGTGTAATGGTATGTGGCCATGGTGTAATGGTATCTGGCCATGGTGTAATGGTATCTGGCCATGTTGTAATGTTATCTGGCCATGGTGTAATGGTATCTGGCCATGTTGTAATGGTATCTGGCCATGTTGTAATGGTATCTGGCCATGGTGTAACTGGCCATAGTGTAATGGTATCTGGCCATGGTGTAATGTTATCTGGCCATGGTGTAATGGTATCTGGCCATGGTGTAATGGTATGTGGCCATGTTGTAATGTTATCTGGCCATGGTGTAATGGTATCTGGCCATGGTGTAATGTTATCTGGCCATGGTGTAATGGTATGTGGCCATGGTGTAATGTTATCTGGCCATGGTGTAATGTTATCTGGCCATGGTGTAATGGTATCTGGCCATGGTGTAATGGTATGTGGCCATGGTGTAATGTTATCTGGCCATGGTGTAATGGTATCTGGCCATTGTGTAATGGTATCTGGCCATGGTGTAATGGTATGTGGCCATGGTGTAATGTTATCTGGCCATGGTGTAATGGTATCTGGCCATGGTGTAATGTTATCTGGCCATCCATGATATAAGGGTATCTGGCCATGGTGTAATGGTATCTGGTCATGGTGTAATGGTATCTGGCCATGGTGTAATGGTATCTGGCCATGGTGTAATGGTATCTGGCCATGGTGTAATGTTATCTGGCCATGATGTAATGGTATCTGGCCATGGTGTAATGGTATCTGGCCATGGTGTAATGGTATGTGGCCATGGTGTAATGGTATCTGGCCATGGTGTAATGGTATCTGGCCATGGTGTAATGGTATCTGGCCATGGTGTAATGTTATCTGGCCATGGTGTAATGGTATCTGGTCATGGTGTAATGGTATGGGGCCATGGTGTAATGTTATCTGGCCATGGTGTAATGGTATGTGGCCATGGTGTAATGGTATCTGGCCATGTTGTAATGGTATCTGGCCATGTTGTAATGTTATCTGGCCATGGTGTAATGGTATCTGGCCATGGTGTAATGGTATGTGGCCATGGTGTAATGTTATCTGGCCATGGTGTAATGTTATCTGGCCATGGTGTAATGGTATGTGGCCATGGTGTAATGGTATGTGGCCATGGTGTAATGGTATCTGGCCATGGTGTAATGGTATGTGGCCATGTTGTAATGGTATCTGGCCATGTTGTAATGGTATCTGGCCATGGTGTAATGGTATCTGGCCATGGTGTAATGGTATCTGGCCATGGTGTAATGGTATCTGGCCATGGTGCAATGGTATCTGGCCATGGTGTAATGTTATCTGGCCATGTTGTAATGGTATCTGGCCATGGTGTAATGGTATCTGGCCATGGTGTAATGTTATCTGGCCATCCATGATATAATGGTATCTGGCCATGGTGTAATGTTATCTGGCCATGGTGTAATGGTATCTGGCCATGGTGTAATGTTATCTGGCCATCCATGATATAAGGGTATCTGGCCATGGTGTAATGGTATCTGGTCATGGTGTAATGGTATCTGGCCATGGTGTAATGGTATCTGGCCATGGTGTAATGTTATCTGGCCATGGTGTAATGGTATGTGGCCATGGTGTAATGGTTACTGGCCATGTTGTAATGGTATCTGTCTATGGTGTAATGGTATCTGGCCATGGTGTAATGGTATGTGGCCATGGTGTAATGGTATCTGGCCATGGTGTAATGTTATCTGGCCATGGTGTAATGTTATCTGGCCATGGTGTAATGGTATCTGGCCATGGTGTAATGGTATGTGGCCATGTTGTAATGGTATGTGGCCATGGTGTAATGGTATCTGGCCATGGTGTAATGGTATCTGGCCATGTTGTAATGTTATCTGGCCATGGTGTAATGGTATCTGGCCATGGTGTAATGGTATGTGGCCATGGTGTAATGGTATCTGGCCATGGTGTAATGGTATGTGGCCATGGTGTAATGGTATCTGGCCATGTTGTAATGGTATCTGGCCATGGTGTAACTGGCCATGGTGTAATGGTATCTGGCCATGGTGTAATGTTATCTGGCCATGGTGTAATGGTATCTGGCCATGGTGTAATGGTATCTGGCCATGGTGTAATGTTATCTGGCCATGGTGTAATGGTATCTGGCCATGGTGTAATGGTATCTGGCCATGTTGTAATGTTATCTGGCCATGGTGTAATGGTATCTGGCCATGGTGTAATGTTATCTGGCCATGTTGTAATGTTATCTGGCCATGTTGTAATGTTATCTGGCCATGGTGTAATGGTATGTGGCCATGGTGTAATGGTATGTGGCCATGTTGTAATGGTATCTGGCCATGTTGTAATGTTATCTGGCCATGGTGTAATGATATGTGGCCATGGTGTAATGGTATCTGGCCATGGTGTAATGTTATCTGGCCATGTTGTAATGGTATCTGGCCATGGTGTAACTGGCCATGGTGTAATGGTATCTGGCCATGGTGTAATGGTATCTGGCCATGGTGTAATGGTATCTGGCCATGGTGTAATGGTATGTGGCCATGTTGTAATGTTATCTGGCCATGGTGTAATGGTATCTGGCCATGGTGTAATGTTATCTGGCCATGGTGTAATGGTATGTGGCCATGGTGTAATGTTATCTGGCCATGGTGTAATGTTATCTGGCCATGGTGTAATGTTATCTGGCCATGGTGTAATGGTATCTGGCCATGGTGTAATGGTATGTGGCCATGGTGTAATGTTATCTGGCCATGGTGTAATGGTATCTGGCCATGGTGTAATGGTATCTGGCCATGGTGTAATGGTATCTGGCCATGGTGTAATGGTATCTGGCCATGGTGTAATGGTATCTGGCCATAATGTAATGTTATCTGGCCATGGTGTAATGGTATCTGGCCATGGTGTAATGTTATCTGGCCATCCATGATATAAGGGTATCTGGCCATGGTGTAATGGTATCTGGTCATGGTGTAATGGTATCTGGCCATGGTGTAATGGTATCTGGCCATGGTGTAATGGTATCTGGCCATGGTGTAATGGTATGTGGCCATGGTGTAATGGTATCTGGTCATGGTGTAATGGTATCTGGCCATGGTGTAATGGTATCTGGCCATGGTGTAATGTTATCTGGCCATGGTGTAATGTTATGTGGCCATGGTGTAATGGTCTCTGGCCATGGTGTAATGGTATCTGGCCATGGTGTAATGTTATCTGGCCATGTTGTAATGGTATCCGGCCATGGTGTAATGGTATCTGGCCATGGTGTAATGTTATCTGGCCATCCATGATATAATGGTATCTGGCCATTGTGTAATGGTATCTGGCCATGGTGTAATGGTATCTGGCCATGGTGTAATGTTATCTGGCCATGGTGTAATGGTATCTGGCCATGGTGTAATGGTATCTGGCCATGTTGTAATGGTATCTGGCCATGGTGTAATGGTATCTGGCCATGGTGTAATGTTATCTGGCCATCCATGATATAAGGGTATCTGGCCATGGTGTAATGGTATCTGGTCATGGTGTAATGGTATCTGGCCATGGTGTAATGGTATCTGGCCATGGTGTAATGGTTACTGGCCATGTTGTAATGGTATCTGTCTATGGTGTAATGGTATCTGGCCATGGTGTAATGGTATGTGGCCATGGTGTAATGGTATCTGGCCATGGTGTAATGGTATCTGGCCATGGTGTAACTGGCCATGGTGTAATGGTATCTGGCCATGGTGTAATGGTATGTGGCCATGTTGTAATGGTATCTGGCCATGGTGTAATGTTATCTGGCCATGTTGTAATGGTATCTGGCCATGGTGTAATGGTATCTGGCCATGGTGTAATGTTATCTGGCCATCCATGATATAAGGGTATCTGGCCATGGTGTAATGTTATCTGGCCATGGTGTAATGTTATCTGGCCATGGTGTAATGTTATCTGGCCATGGTGTAACTGGCCATGGTGTAATGGTATCTGGCCATGGTGTAATGGTATGTGGCCATGTTGTAGTGGTATGTGGCCATGGTGTAATGGTATCTGGCCATGGTGTAATGGTATCTGGCCATGGTGTAATGTTATCTGGCCATGGTGTAATGGTATCTGGCCATGTTGTAATGTTATCTGGCCATGGTGTAATGGTATCTGGCCATGGTGTAATGGTATGTGGCCATGGTGTAATGGTATCTGGCCATGGTGTAATGGTATGTGGCCATGGTGTAATGTTATCTGGCCATGGTGTAACTGGCCATGTTGTAATGGTATCTGGCCATGTTGTAATGGTATGTGGCCATGTTGTAATGGTATGTGGCCATGGTGTAATGGTATCTGGCCATGGTGTAATGTTATCTGGCCATCCATGATATAATGGTATCTGGCCATTGTGTAATGGTATCTGGCCATGGTGTAATGGTATCTGGCCATGGTGTAATGTTATCTGGCCATGGTGTAATGGTATCTGGCCATGGTGTAATGGTATCTGGCCATGTTGTAATGGTATCTGGCCATGGTGTAATGGTATCTGGCCATGGTGTAATGTTATCTGGCCATCCATGATATAAGGGTATCTGGCCATGGTGTAATGGTATCTGGCCATGGTGTAATGGTATCTGGCCATGGTGTAATGGTTACTGGCCATGTTGTAATGGTATCTGTCTATGGTGTAATGGTATCTGGCCATGGTGTAATGGTATGTGGCCATGGTGTAATGGTATCTGGCCATGTTGTAACTGGCCATGGTGTAATGGTATCTGGCCATGGTGTAATGTTATCTGGCCATGGTGTAATGGTATCTGGCCATGGTGTAATGGTATGTGGCCATGTTGTAATGGTATGTGGCCATGGTGTAATGGTATCTGGCCATGGTGTAATGGTATCTGGCCATGGTGTAATGTTATCTGGCCATGTTGTAATGTTATCTGGCCATGGTGTAATGGTATGTGGCCATGGTGTAATGGTATCTGGCCATGGTGTAATGGTATGTGGCCATGGTGTAATGGTATCTGGCCATGGTGTAATGGTATCTGGCCATGGTGTAATGGTATCTGGCCATGGTGTAATGTTATCTGGCCATGGTGTAATGGTATCTGGCCATGGTGTAATGGTATCTGGCCATGGTGTAATGGTATGTGGCCATGGTGTAATGGTATCTGGCCATGGTGTAATGTTATCTGGCCATGGTGTAATGGTATGTGGCCATGTTGTAACTGGCCATGGTGTAATGGTATTAAAATCTATTGATATTCTCTCTCACAGGATGGCTGTGATTTTGTGTGCAGGACTAAAGAACGGAGACACACTATTGGTGGTCTAGGTGATGACCAGCTGGACGTCCCGGAGATGAGAGATGAAAATCTTCTGCCAATGTAGCCTGAGCACTGCTAGATGGGGGACTTGTTTGATAGATGAATGAGTCAGTCATTTTTTCCATTCAAATATAAATTTTATGGTTTTTTTCATAACTCTTAAGATTGAAACAAAGTGTATCGTTCTACTCTAACCATGTTGAACTCACTGATGACCACACCTAATCTCTCAAGCAATTGGTTAGCCTACAGCTGATTGTCTAGGAGTTGGTTTGTGGTCTAATGCATTCCTTATGTACATGGCTTTGATCTATTTTTTTTATTGTCTCAACACAGACACTGAGGTAAAAGGGTTTTATTTTTCTACAGTGTACACTACTTTGTGTTACTGCAGTGTACAGTACTTTGTGTTACTGCAGTGTACAGTACTTTGTGTTACGGCAGTGTACAGTTCTTTGTGTTACTGCAGTGTACAGTACTTTGTGTTACGGCAGTGTACAGTACTTTGTGTTACGGCAGTGTACAGTACTTTGTGTTACCGCAGTGTACAGTACTTTGTGTTACGGCAGTGTACAGTACTTTGTGTTACCGCAGTGTACAGTACTTTGTGTTACTGCCAGTGTACAGTACTTTGTGTTACTGCAGTGTACAGTACTTTGTGTTACTGCAGTGTACAGTACTTTATGTTACTACAGTGTACAGTACTTTGTGTTACTGCAGTGTACAGTACTTTGTGTTACGGCAGTGTACAGTACTTTATGTTACCGCAGTGTACAGTACTTTGTGTTACGGCAGTGTACACTACTTTGTGTTACTGCAGGGTACTGTACTTTATTTTACTACAGTGTACAGTACTTTGTTACTACAGTGTACAGTACTTTGTGTTACTACCAGTGTACAGTGTTTCGTATTACTGCAAAGAAATTTTATGACTGGATTTTTATGTTATCTTTTCTTTTTTTTTTGTGTGGATGCTCCATGTGTGGGTGGCTGGTGTGTGTGTCTGGAACATGTGTGTGACTGGTGTGTGTGTGTCTGGATCATGTGTGTGGGTGGCTGGTGTGTGTGTCTGGATCATGTGTGTGGGTGGCTGGTGTGTGTGTCTGGATCATGTGTGTGGGTGGCTGGTGTGTGTGTGTGTCTGGAACATGTGTGTGGTGTGTGTGTGTCTGGAACATGTGTGTGGTGTGTGTGTGTCTGGAACATGTGTGTGGTGAGTGAAATATTTGCTGTAAACTTTTATTCTATCAGGTCTAAAACAATATAATTTATAATTTCATGTATATTTTTAAGAGATTTGTTTTTTTAAATTACTTATTAATGGAGAGAAGTTTTTATTCTTTATTAATCTTTTGAGTTTTTCCTTCTGTAAGACTGAGCTGTTTTTCCTGTTGTAAGAGTGTATTAGCTGTGAGGTGAATGACCTCCCAAGAGTGGTTGATGTCATCATCACATGTATGTTGAGAGCAGACGACAAATCTAGGATCAAGGAAACACATCAGCTGTAAATAAAGCTTTGATTCTCACATGAGCAGTTTTTTAAAGATCAACGTACCTTATGACATAATTGTCGTTGAGTAGAGCAGGTACAAGATACAGCTGACCACTGGCATTCAAGTCTTTGAGCAGCCTCTGGGTCAAATGGTTTGGTCCCTGGTGGTGTGAGACATCAAATCTTGTAGACATCAGTGGAGAGGTAGTGACACAGATAACAGCCCACACAACACAACACAGACATCAAATCTTGTAGACATCAGTGGAGAGGTAGTGACACAGATAGCAGCCCACACAACACAACACAGACATCAAATCTTGTAGACATCAGTGGAGAGGTAGTGACACAGATAACAGCCCACACAACACAGACAGACATCAAATCTTGTAGACATCAGTGGAGAGGTAGTGACACAGATAACAGCCCACACAACACAACACAGACATCAAATCTTGTAGACATCAGTGGAGAGGTAGTGACACAGATAGCAGCCCACACAACACAACACAGACATCAAATCTTGTAGACATCAGTGGAGAGGTAGTGACACAGATAACAGCCCACACAACACAGACAGACATCAAATCTTGTAGACATCAGTGGAGAGGTAGTGACACAGATAACAGCCCACACAACACAACACAGACATCAAATCTTGTAGACATCAGTGGAGAGGTAGTGACACAGATAACAGCCCACACAACACAGACATCAAATCTTGTAGACATCAGTGGAGAGGTAGTGACACAGATAACAGCCCACACAACACAACACAGACATCAAATCTTGTAGACATCAGTGGAGAGGTAGTGACACAGATAACAGCCCACACAACACAGACATCAAATCTTGTAGACATCAGTGGAGAGGTAGTGACACAGATAACAGCCCACACAACACAACACAGACATCAAATCTTGTAGACATCAGTGGAGAGGTAGTGACACAGATAACAGCCCACACAACACAGACATCAAATCTTGTAGACATCAGTGGAGAGGTAGTGACACAGATAACAGCCCACACAACACAGACATCAAATCTTGTAGACATCAGTGGAGAGGTAGTGACACAGATAACAGCCCACACAACACAGACATCAAATCTTGTAGACATCAGTGGAGAGGTAGTGACACAGATAACAGCCCACACAACACAGAAATCAAATCTTGTAGACATCAGTGGAGAGGTAGTGACACAGATAACAGCCCACACAACACAACACAGACATCAAATCTTGTAGACATCAGTGGAGAGGTAGTGACACAGATAACAGCCCACACAACACAGACATCAAATCTTGTAGACATCAGTGGAGAGGTAGTGACACAGATAACAGCCCACACAACACAACACAGACATCAAATCTTGTAGACATCAGTGGAGAGGTAGTGACACAGATAACAGCCCACACAACACAACACAGACATCAAATCTTGTAGACATCAGTGGAGAGGTAGTGACACAGATAACAGCCCACACAACACAACACAGACATCAAATCTTGTAGACATCAGTGGAGAGGTAGTGACACAGATAACAGCCCACACAACACAGACATCAAATCTTGTAGACATCAGTGGAGAGGTAGTGACACAGATAACAGCCCACACAACACAACACAGACATCAAATCTTGTAGACATCAGTGGAGAGGTAGTGACACAGATAACAGCCCACACAACACAGACATCAAATCTTGTAGACATCAGTGGAGAGGTAGTGACACAGATAACAGCCCACACAACACAGAAATCAAATCTTGTAGACATCAGTGGAGAGGTAGTGACACAGATAACAGCCCACACAACACAACACAGACATCAAATCTTGTAGACATCAGTGGAGAGGTAGTGACACAGATAACAGCCCACACAACACAACACAGACATCAAATCTTGTAGACATCAGTGGAGAGGTAGTGACACAGATAACAGCCCACACAACACAACACAGACATCAAATCTTGTAGACATCAGTGGAGAGGTAGTGACACAGATAACAGCCCACACAACATAGACATCAAATCTTGTAGACATCAGTGGAGAGGTAGTGACACAGATAACAGCCCACACAACACAGACATCAAATCTTGTAGACATCAGTGGAGAGGTAGTGACACAGAAAACAGCCCACACAACACAACACAGACATCAAATCTTGTAGACATCAGTGGAGAGGTAGTGACACAGATAACAGCCCACACAACACAACACAGACATCAAATCTTGTAGACATCAGTGGAGAGGTAGTGACACAGATAACAGCCCACACAACACAACACAGACATCAAATCTTGTAGACATCAGTGGAGAGGTAGCGACACAGATAGCAGCCCACACAACACAACACAGACATCAAATCTTGTAGACATCAGTGGAGAGGTAGTGACACAGATAACAGCCCACACAACACAGACATCAAATCTTGTAGACATCAGTGGAGAGGTAGTGACACAGATAACAGCCCACACAACACAGACAGACATCAAATCTTGTAGACATCAGTGGAGAGGTAGTGACACAGATAACAGCCCACACAACACAACACAGACATCAAATCTTGTAGACATCAGTGGAGAGGTAGTGACACAGATAACAGCCCACACAACACAGACATCAAATCTTGTAGACATCAGTGGAGAGGTAGTGACACAGATAACAGCCCACACAACACAACACAGACATCAAATCTTGTAGACATCAGTGGAGAGGTAGTGACACAGATAACAGCCCACACAACACAACACAGACATCAAATCTTGTAGACATCAGTGGAGAGGTAGTGACACAGATAACAGCCCACACAACACAACACAGACATCAAATCTTGTAGACATCAGTGGAGAGGTAGTGACACAGATAACAGCCCACACAACACAGACATCAAATCTTGTAGACATCAGTGGAGAGGTAGTGACACAGATAACAGCCCACACAACACAACACAGACATCAAATCTTGTAGACATCAGTGGAGAGGTAGTGACACAGATAACAGCCCACACAACACAGACATCAAATCTTGTAGACATCAGTGGAGAGGTAGTGACACAGATAACAGCCCACACAACACAGACATCAAATCTTGTAGACATCAGTGGAGAGGTAGTGACACAGATAACAGCCCACACAACACAGACATCAAATCTTGTAGACATCAGTGGAGAGGTAGTGACACAGATAACAGCCCACACAACACAACACAGACATCAAATCTTGTAGACATCAGTGGAGAGGTAGTGACACAGATAACAGCCCACACAACACAGACATCAAATCTTGTAGACATCAGTGGAGAGGTAGTGACACAGATAACAGCCCACACAACACAGACATCAAATCTTGTAGACATCAGTGGAGAGGTAGTGACACAGATAACAGCCCACACAACACAACACAGACATCAAATCTTGTAGACATCAGTGGAGAGGTAGTGACACAGATAACAGCCCACACAACACAGACATCAAATCTTGTAGACATCAGTGGAGAGGTAGCGACACAGATAGCAGCCCACACAACACAACACAGACATCAAATCTTGTAGACATCAGTGGAGAGGTAGTGACACAGATAACAGCCCACACAACACAGACATCAAATCTTGTAGACATCAGTGGAGAGGTAGTGACACAGATAACAGCCCACACAACACAGACAGACATCAAATCTTGTAGACATCAGTGGAGAGGTAGTGACACAGATAACAGCCCACACAACACAACACAGACATCAAATCTTGTAGACATCAGTGGAGAGGTAGTGACACAGATAACAGCCCACACAACACAGACATCAAATCTTGTAGACATCAGTGGAGAGGTAGTGACACAGATAACAGCCCACACAACACAACACAGACATCAAATCTTGTAGACATCAGTGGAGAGGTAGTGACACAGATAACAGCCCACACAACACAGACATCAAATCTTGTAGACATCAGTGGAGAGGTAGTGACACAGATAACAGCCCACACAACACAACACAGACATCAAATCTTGTAGACATCAGTGGAGAGGTAGTGACACAGATAACAGCCCACACAACACAGACATCAAATCTTGTAGACATCAGTGGAGAGGTAGTGACACAGATAACAGCCCACACAACACAGACAGACATCAAATCTTGTAGACATCAGTGGAGAGGTAGTGACACAGATAACAGCCCACACAACACAACACAGACATCAAATCTTGTAGACATCAGTGGAGAGGTAGTGACACAGATAACAGCCCACACAACACAGACATCAAATCTTGTAGACATCAGTGGAGAGGTAGTGACACAGATAACAGCCCACACAACACAACACAGACATCAAATCTTGTAGACATCAGTGGAGAGGTAGTGACACAGATAACAGCCCACACAACACAACACAGACATCAAATCTTGTAGACATCAGTGGAGAGGTAGTGACACAGATAACAGCCCACACAACACATACATCAAATCTTGTAGACATCAGTGGAGAGGTAGTGACACAGATAACAGCCCACACAACACAACACAGACATCAAATCTTGTAGACATCAGTGGAGAGGTAGTGACACAGATAACAGCCCACACAACACATACATCAAATCTTGTAGACATCAGTGGAGAGGTAGTGATACAGATAACAGCCCACACAACACAACACAGACATCAAATCTTGTAGACATCAGTGGAGAGGTAGTGACACAGATAACAGCCCACACAACACAACACAGACATCAAATCTTGTAGACATCAGTGGAGAGGTAGTGACACAGATAACAGCCCACACAACACAGACATCAAATCTTGTAGACATCAGTGGAGAGGTAGTGACACAGATAACAGCCCACACAACACAACACAGACATCAAATCTTGTAGACATCAGTGGAGAGGTAGTGACACAGATAACAGCCCACACAACACAGACATCAAATCTTGTAGACATCAGTGGAGAGGTAGTGACACAGATAACAGCCCACACAACACAACACAGACATCAAATCTTGTAGACATCAGTGGAGAGGTAGTGACACAGATAACAGCCCACACAACACAGACATCAAATCTTGTAGACATCAGTGGAGAGGTAGTGACACAGATAACAGCCCACACAACACAACACAGACATCAAATCTTGTAGACATCAGTGGAGAGGTAGTGACACAGATAAC